TCCTATTTAAACCACAGCGAATAGCACAGCTGAAAAAACCCAGAAGTTTATCCTCCTCTCTGTTAGACTAAAACAAATACATTATTTTCCCATGAAACCCTAACTCATTTAAAAACTGAAGTCGTTTCTGTGGTGTGAGTCTCTTGTATAGACACGCCAAGGTGAATTTACAAAGTGCTTAGCAAATAACCCGTACCATCTTAACTAAATGCAATTATGTTAGGTACTGGCACCTACTACGTAGATAGAGGAAGATGATCACTGAGTTTTGGGTGGTGGAGTAGGGAGTGCTCTCTGTTCTACAAAAATTTGGTACTCAAAAAGATTTTTCAGGATTATTTCAGCCATAAAGAGGGAGCAGGTTCTTGTTTTCTGGTAGTCAGCATGTTCCTTGGGGAGTGTTGTTTATGATTTTTATCTAATGACTGCTCCATACGTCAGGGGCCTGTTCATAGGCACCTACTGAGGGCAGTTGCTACTTCTGGACAATATTTTCACAGCAGTGGGCCCAGATCATGTCCAGCAGGGTGACTGAATGTCTTGTATGTTCTTGATAACAGCTGTGCTCGCTAGCATATCATGTAACTGAGTGAACATTACCTCCGTTTGTCTGGAGGCAGCTGCTTCCAAATTTTGAAAGGAGCCCAGTTGTACAACAGGAGGGTGCATTAAGGGTGCATACTGAGTTGAGCCCCTGAAGGATTTCGAATGGACAAATGCTTCATGTCTGTGAAAGAAATGTGATGCACAGGCTTATGAACATGCATGATGCACAGTAACATTGAAGGAACTCATGCAGATCCAGATACACTGAGGACTCAGAAATGAGTAAGAACAAGAATGGTTTGTCTGGTTAGGAACGAAGGCACTGGGAAGCCTTAGCAAGTGCTGGATTCCCTAGGACATTGAAAAGATTTCTGGTTTTCAAGTGCAGATTTAAAATTGCTTACTCCTTTATCTTCAATAGCTCTGTTAAATATTACTTTTAAGTTCAATCAGGTGTTTGGTTTTTTTAAAGGTGCTTTTAATGGAGGTATGCTTAGCAGTGTTAAAAAAATCAAAATATCAAATTAATCATTGGTAACAAGTAGTTGTTTTTTCTTCTTTCTTGTTCATCCCAATCGAACCTTCTCTTTTTACCAAGATGATAATTTCAAAATCAGAATAATCTTTAAGCATTTTTACAGTGACTTTTAGACAGCAGAATTTCCCAGTTCTTTGACAAACAGTATACACCTCCTTTGCAAACACTGTACTCCAGCATTTTTCAATTAACAGTGAGAGTGTGCAAGGGCCTCAGCTGGTTTCTGCCATCTGGTGGATACATGGAGCCACTACCGCAATGCTTGTAATTTCCACCAATCCTTAGTAATCGATACGCTAAATAACTGAGCAAGTATCACCGAATCACAGGAGGGCTGAGGTTGGCAAGAACCTCTGGAGGTCATCTGGTCCGATCCCCTGCTCCGGCAGGGTACCCTAGAGCCGATTGCCCAGGACCAGATCCATGCAGCTTTTGAATGTCTCCAAGAAGGGAGACATTCAAAACTTCACCACCTCTCTGGGCAACTCGTGCCAGTGCTCGGTCACTCTCACAGTGAAAAAGCGTTTCCTGATGTTCAGAGGGAACCTCCTGTGTTTCAGTTTGTGCCCATTGCCTCTGGTCCTGTCTCTGGTCACTGCTGGGGAGAGTCTGGCTCTGTCTTCTTTGCACCCTCCCTTCAGGTATTTATATCCATTGATGGCTCTCCCCCAAGCCGCCTCTTCTCCAAGCAGAACAGTCCCAGCTCTCTCAGCCTTTCCTCCTGGCAGAGATGCTGCAGTCTCTTCAGCATCTTTGTGGCCCTTCGCTGGATTTTCTCCAGTATGTCCATGTCTCTTCTGGGGTGCTCAAAACTGGACCCAGCACTCCAGATGTGGCCTTACCAGTGCTGAGTAGAGGGTGTTCTGGGTTTGATGGGATAGAATCATAGAATCCATTTTCTACTCAGGAAAGCTGCATTTCTGAGAAGACTGCAGCACTCAAATTGATGGGAGCAAAATTGATGAGATACCTGTTTTACTTTGTGGCCAGCCCTGGCGGGCAGGTTGCCATAGTGATCAAGGTGTTGTGTAGTTTTGAGTTAGCCAGATGCAGAAGCAAGGAGCAGCAAAAGCCAGGGCAGCTGACCCAAGCTGGCATCAGAATTGTTCCATACCATAAACATCATGCTCACTATAAATTGGAAGGTTTGCTGGGAGTAGCTCTCTCTCCTCGATGGTTGTGAGCCCCAGAGGATCTCTCACCTGTTGTTCTGCTCCCAAGGGTTACTCCCCTGTTCAGTGTGACTGCTGTGCTCACCGTGTTTGACATCCAGCAGCAAAAGCACACAGCTTGCGACCACTATATGGGCTCAGTATAACTCTTGTGTACTTTGTCTTAATATTGGCATTAATATTAGTTGGTTCTTATTTATTAAATCTGTTTTCATTTCAACCCACTGGTCTACTTTCTTTCTCCTAATTCCCCTCCTTGGGTGGGGAGGGGTCATTAGGTGATAGCACAACTGCCTAAACGAAGACAGAGGGGATCACCTCCCTCAGCCTGTGGCAATGCTTCTCTTTGGCCAACCCAGGAAACCATCAGCCACCTTTGCTGCAGGGGCACATCACTGGCTCCTCTTCAACTTGGTTTCCACCGAGACTCCCAGGTCCTTTTCTGCCAAGCTGCTCTCCAGTTGGGCAGCCCCCAGCATACACTGGTGCGTGGGGTGGTTGTTACCCAGGTGCAGGACTTTGCCGTTGCCCTTGTTGAACTTCCTGAGGTGCTTGTACAGAGTACTTCAGGAGAACTTTTACAGAGTTTCTATTTAAGAAAGCATGAGATCTGTCGCAGCTTTACATAGGAAAAAAGCTTTTTGCATTTGGACACTCAGGAAAAAATCTCTTTTATGTGTATTTTACTGGCTGATTGACAGCATCTGTACTGGTGGATATGTGACCTGCGCAGGTTTATAAAAATGAACTGGCTAATTACACCATACACATTTGTTCCATACCAATATATGCACTGAATGCAGTTTTCTGGCAAGACTTTCTTCATTATCTTTAAAACCTCTGCCCTCTGACTAAGTTCTCAGGTGTATTCAGACCGTCTGGCATGCACTATACTGCGTAAGACTTCTTCCTGTTAAGAAACCAGTCAACAAAAAATGTACTTGGGTCTTGCATGGTGCAGGGACTTGAGGGTTAGGGAGAAGGTCTAGCCACAAGGGAGTTTGCTTTCAAATGTTTCAAAGAAGAATCAGACCAGCCTTCCCACAGTTTATTTCTGAGGAGGGAGTTAAATCCCTAGGAGGAACTTAAAGAATTTGCCTGTGTTGTGATTCAGAGCTGTCTTGCTGCTTTCTGTTTCTCATCAAGCATTTGATACTTGTTTTGTATCATACCTCCAAAGGATTAAGTGGCTTCCTGTTGCTGCATAATGACTTGATCCCTGTTTGATGCTGGATGAAAACAAGAGTCACTATTTCAGGTCAGAATGCTCCAGATTGAGATGATTTTATGGAACAAATTATGACTATGATCTAATGATTAAACAATCCTTCAACAATTCTTTTATCATTTTAAATATGTGATGCCCAGTTTTGAGATATGAAGCACATCCAAGTGAAATACGGAGCAGACCGCTTGTGGTTTGTTAACACAGGAAGGGACACATCCAAAGCCATATAGGGAACCAATGGGAAAAGCTAAAAATAGAAGGCAAACCTTATCAACTTGCACCAGGTCATGATCATCTCCCTAGACAAAACCTTGGGAAGATACAGGTGTACCTAGAAGTGAGAATCATGAAAAGCTCAATTCTTTGGCTGTCACCAAAGTTACATGCAAGAAACTTCAGGTTTATCTGCTAGCATGCAGAACACCCACTATTCACTGTCAGGTGGATTATGGCAGCAAAAGTGATAATATTTAATGAAATGGGAGGAGGAGCTACTTTTTCTCAATCAAGCTTTTGAAACAGCATTTTAGAAGGAGAGAGCATGTAGGACAACACTGCCATGGAGCAAGCTCTGAACAACTTTGTATTTAAACAAGTACATTTTCCTTTTTATTTCATAAGAAGTTTACTGTTGAAAAAATGGTATGTATTAAAGCAAACACACTATACACATAGATTAAACATCAGATAGCAAAACCTTATGGAATGAGCACTACTGGTTGTATTGTATAGGGTTTACAATCAAAGTTATACTTAAAAACCCTCAAGAGTTAATGTACTTTCAAGGTAAATTAGGCACAAAATTTAGCTTGTAACTAGCTCTGCAAGCGTCTCACTGTGATTTCACTGTTATAAAATATTACAAGTGATCAAAAACATAAGCTGACTTTTTAAATTTTTAAAATTTTATTCGTACTATGTGCTGAAATAGTACAAATCTATACAACACTCCACCTTTGTTAAAAAAGCTTGTACAATAGGGACTATAAAGTAGTAGGGCTAAACAGGAAATTACCCCTTCATTTGGGCTCAGAATTAGTATGACGTAAATCTATGGCTTTGTTTTGCGGGCATATTTGAAATCAAATAAATCCTACAAATGTGGGGAAGAAACAGGAAGATAATTTTAATGAATATGAGCTACGATATTTTCAAGGAACGTTATTAGTAAGGAAACTAGCTGGTGTCTGGCATATATGGCTCCGTTTTCTGAAAAGGATGCAAGATACAATGTGAAATTTTAAAGAATGAGAAGGAAAAAAGAAATGAAATCCAAGGAGCAAAACCCCTTCGAGTGATTTACTGCAAGGTTTTAGCTTAGATGAGGCTTTAGCGCAGAGAGGATTACTGATTTGCAAGAAATGAGAGGGCAACTGCAAGTCTGTGGGCTGTAATAAAATCTTACCTCACAGAAAACGCAGGGACCTGCTAAATATGCATATTAGAAAAGTGTTTGATTAAAATATCGCATTTTTTTAAATCTTCCGTTAGCAAAGCATATTGCTGTAAGTTGTCCTTTTTTGCTTGTTTAAAACAAACCCCATCATGATTGCCACAGAACTACAAGGAACTGCATACTTTCTAGGGGTACATTTTTACTGCATCATACGGGACTTGCTTCACAGGTAAAAATAAACATCTTAAAGCCTTAATGCTGTTTTTGATTAGCAGAAACAGAAAAAGGAATGCACTGAAGCAAGATGATAACAAAGTATATCATGCAGTATTTTGGCTTAATGTATACAGTATTTCAAACCAATGCTGTGACTGCAGGGTGGGGGTTTTAATCCATTACATTCACATGACATCGTTCAGAATTAAAACTGTATGTGAAGGCAAACTGTGGAAACGTGAAAAATACGGGGATGCCTAACAAAAGCGTGCCAGATGTGTAATTGTTTCTAGCATGCAGAGCTAATGCTTGAAGGCCTATCACAGCAGTATCGACCACTGCTACTTCTAGTTCTTTACATTACTGCGCTGTTTACGCTGGCCGCGGGCTGGTCACAGTCAGCAAGTGCTGTATGGCATTAGGAAGTTAACCCACAATCTCTGCAGGTTCAGTGACCAACTTAGATCCATCCCATGCTGTCTTGAACTGTTCAGGAACCGGAAATTCTTTCTGGCAGGGAACAAAAGCAACAACGATGATTAAATAAACAGTGGATACCTCGTGAAAACTGGCGGAATACTATTAGTGCTACATGAGTGAGAAAGCATTGATAGCTCAGACATGCTAGGATTAGAGAGAGGCCTTCTTCATTGCCCTAGGAAGCTATTTTACAATGCCACACAGGAAAAAGCCTTATTGCTACCCAGTTTCAAATAGCCTTGGTATGGTACTGCTTTGCAATAATCCCTCTCACACCATTATTTGGAACAACTGAGTAAATAAGCCTCATGTCAGAAATGACTTTAGATTCCATCAGTGTCTGGGCTGGAAGGCAGTAGAAAGGATTTAGATGTGGAGATTTAGCCAGGAGACTAATTTCAAGGACAAAAACAATATTATAATATGGAAGAATTAAAAAACCCCTATCATTTTAAGTGTGATACACTTCAAAAGACAGCATCCCTTGTGAGGTACACAAAACGAAGCAGAACATCAAAGAAAGTCTCCTTCCATTCTGTGTGAGGACAATGGGAGATGTTGTTGAGTCTTTCTCTGTTCCCAGTAAACAAAACAAGATGTGACGAGAAGGGGTTTTTCATTCAGACCTCAAAATCGTGTTTTGATAGCCAGTAATTTCAGATGATACGGTGGTTTGAGGCAAGACTGATCAAAAGGACCTTTTTTTTTTAAGAAATAGGTGAATATGCGCCCACTGAAAATCATTCCCTTTTAAGTTATCTGAAGTTGGGCACCCAGCAGTCACTTTTGGAAATGTGGAGCATGAGAATTCTCTTGTTATATATTTTATTTTACAAAGCTATTTTCTTTTACAAAGCCTAAACCCCTTTGCTGTACAAAATCCCAGCCCAAAAGATTAGCCAGAAATTTCAGTTCTGTCTATAGCCATTCAGAGCAATTTCAACACTGCTGTGCTGGGAAAACAAGGAAACTATTAAGAGTGAGCTTTGCCTGCATGGCCCTTTGCTGGTGTGTGAAGTGGCAGAGCATAACGTTACTAGTAATGCTGGGGGGCACAGCATGAAAATCTTACTAGAACAAAAGAGGAGCTGGGAAAATGCACATGTTTAAGTGCTTTTTAAGACCTATGTTGAAAATACTAGAAAGTACTACAGATACTACCCATGTTTCAACAGCTTGAGAAAAACCACGAGTATCTTAAACTGTATTATTCTATCTGTAGTAGTATTATTTATCTTGGTTTTTGCTTCATCATGTTCAGGCTTGACTGCTCTTGTGTGAAATGAGTTTCTTTGAGAGATTATGGTTAGATATCAAAAAAGAAAATTAAATGGACAGGAGATGAAGCCATTGTCTATCAGAAGGGAAAGAAAAAATGTCATGTCTGATCTTTGAAATTACTTTGTGCCCCAGAAAAGAAGGAGTTCTTCCCGCACTGACAACTGAGATATCGGTACATAGAAATTCAATTGGTTTGGATCATTTTCTGGTGATGTAGTATGTGTGGTATGTTAGTTTCTTTACTAGTAGTTTAAAGGCTATCAGCTACCAAGACTAGTGTGGAAAGGGGAGGAAAGCTTTAAAAATATCTCACTCACATAATCACCATCTTGGGGGATGAGGATGTTCATCTCGGATGATTTGGCACTCACAATCTCACAATCTAATGATTCCTCACTGAAGTAGATGTGGCAGCCTTCTGTTTTGTTAATAGAAATGGTTGGCACTTTCCCCATCACCTGCAAAATAAATTCTACTTAATATCAAATCTTAAAATGCACATAAAGATACCGTTGATAAAATCCTCATTGCCTGCCAGGTCTAATTTTAGACACCAACATCTGATCTGTGTGTCAGCTGCCTGCACGATGCTTACATTTGATTTGTTAGACACCAAAAATTCTTGGTGGTGGCAACAAAGATCAATACACAACAGCAAGCTTATACAGCAAGCTTTTAATACACGGTTTGATGAAAGTGCTTCTCTGGTTCTCTCTAATTCCAGTGACATTTTTGTGCTGATATTTAGGCGGTGTTCACCTTGTTCATCAGTGGGAACTGGTTAAGAAATCAAATATGTCCACTCCAACCCAGTAAGGGCAAATGAAAGATTCCAGCGTAAAGTAGTATTCCACAAGTGATTTGTAATATCTTCTGAAAGCTCTTCCAGGTTTTACAGCACACAATAGGAAAGGGTTTTCATTCCCTTAAAGTGAGCTAAAAAAGTACTGAGATAAATTTAATTGAATCTCTAAAGGTGTTTCTTGTGTGACTTTAAAAGCAAGCACAAGATTTACTTGAGGGGAGAAAGGGAAATCTCTTGTTTACAGTTCTACAGATGAAAAGATTTCTTCATGGCTAACATGGCTGGTTGTCAGTAAAAACCCTTCCTTCTCTTCCTGCCCTGTCTAGCAGGGACAGCAACTATACTGATACTAATACTGATACTGATACTGATACCAATACCAATACCAATACCTATACCAATACCAATACTATACTCTGGACAATTCATCAAAAGGGCAGAGTTTAATCTAAGCCATAAGACAGTAATGACAGATATGTACTTATTAATGAGAGAGTGTCTCCCATCATTCAAGTCAACAATATATTGTCAGCTTTAGTTTCTTCAATGTGTCAGCAAACAAAGAAGCAATCTGTCCTCCTGCACCCCACCCTGACCCTGAAGTCTGGTCTATGTAGTGGATCAATGTATCTTAAACTGATCTTTCTTTTCTTTAATGGGTTCTCATGCAATAGAGAACAAAAGGGGGGTGTGTTTAATAAATTTTACAAATATCTGAAAAAAAAACCAACACTGGAAGGAAGGAGAGCCAAGCAATACAGCACTGAAGTAACTATTTATAACAAAATCTGTAGGATGAATTTACAGAAATTTGTTGCATTAACATAATGTATTTGCAAATTACAAGCTCAGGTCTTCAAAATACTGAGAAAATCAAGATGCTCAGCACCTGGCATACTCAAACCCTGTGGAAGCCACATGATTCAAGCAGCATATAGCAAATAGCCAGACTACCTTCTTGAGGACTACCTTCCACTCTGCTCCATGGCATAGGAGCCTTATGCAATATTCATAGAAACTGCTTAATCAAAAGAATTCTGATTCTTGGAAAAAAAATATTTCCCCTTTATTTAAGTATTAACAAGCTGTGGTTTCACTACTCACTACATAAGATTTTTTCAGCTTTCGTGAGTAGTTCTAGAGGTAATGATAAAAATAATCTAGTTATTAAAAAAAACACTCAAATAAATGCCTGGGTTCTTTAACTAACTGCTTCTGCCATAAGAAAACCTGTAGTGAACATGAATAAAACTGCTTGTTACAGTTCAGAAGATGAAGCACAGCTGGTAGCAATGTCAGTCCTTTGCACAAGGTTCAAAATACACAAAAAAACCCCATCTTGCTATTACTGTTTCTAAAGCATGGAGCAGAACTGTCTACATTTCATGTCATACAGCAGGCAGAACCTTTTAAGCAAAACACCTCACCTTGCTTGAACACTGGCAGTTTGATATAATTTAATTAACATTTTGTTTCTTTTTCACTTAAAATAATACATCCTGAAGTCCTTTCTTGAGACTAGGTCATGTATGTCAGACACATGCCGGTACTAAAGCATGTAGAGTTACACCTTTTCGAAATAGGATGACTGAAGTGCTGTAAATGTCAGGCAGACTTTGAATGGGGCAAGTGTTCTCAGTAGAGAAGGCAATATATGGATTTAAAATACGTTTATTTTCCTTTTATGAGAACCACAAGGAAGATGATCTCTGATGAAGCTTTGCTTACTGATTATTAAAGACAAACCCAATGGAGGCTCATAGCCCATTTGTAGGCAAGTGACTGCATAACTTATGTAATGTGTCATGTCACTGGCAGGAGAGATTTTCCAAATCCCGGTGCCTGCTTTCACTTTATGTCATTTAGTTGTCCTTCAAAGTCTATTTGAACATTTCCATTGAGAGAATAAGAAAAAACAGAAGTAACCATCTTCTGGGCTTAGAAATCAATTCACTAACTGCCAGAATTTGTTCCATAAGCACCACTGAACTTTCAAGTGCTAGGAGCTGTTTACCATGAAAGCAAGAAAATTAGGGCCAGAAGTAATAGCTGTGTACAGGTCTCTCGGCTTTGCTGGGACCAAAAGGGACTGGGCTACAGGAGGTTTGTTCAGCGATGATCAATAGTTTTTATAGGCATTTTCTACATACATCAGCAGAATTTAGTGCATATAAAGATACATTTGGATGCATCCGTCTCTTATTTTTGTTGTGCTCCTGTGAGTTTTTAAAATCTCTTGCAGCTACACCTTGGGCTTTGTTTTTTTTTTTTTCCCTTGCTTGTTCTCTGTCTGTTTCTATCCTTGTTTCTCAAACAAAAGTTTACCTGAATCTGAATATCCCTGGAATTGATCACTTCCACGATTCCCACAACGTTGTCAAACACAAGGCCAAACTTTTTACAGTTGTCTAAAATAAAAACAATAAAAAATAAGAAAGGCAAGATAAAAGCAAATGTATGCACACCTGCTACATTAGCTACGAAAATTCCCAGTCTTGCACTTCATAGCTGAGTGCCTTTACTCACACGATCAGCCCATTAAAGTGAATGGAATGATTCAGATGCATTATTAATCACGTAAGTCAGTTTTTCTCAGACTGGCATTTAAAGCCCACCTGAGCTATCCACTCACCAATAGTAATTGAATTGATTTTTCCTTTTATCTGAAGTGTAGACTTGTTACACTTAAAAATGTAGGCCACTTGCTTGAGTTCAGTGTTGTTAATGACCAGGTCATTCTTATCCTCTTGATATTCCTGTTTCAAAAGAAAGTTTATTTAATTGGTTGTCTTTAACTAGCTAAGTCAGACAAAGTTTAGTACAACTTATCTTCGAGTCATTGCACCTTCAATTACAACAGAGCAATTTCCTTCCTGTGGCTTAAAAATCTAATCTGCTTGGTGATCAGATATTTAATCTAATTCACCCTTAGATGACACGTGTGTATTTTACAGCTGCAGAACCCAATAACCTAGCATAGACCATGACAAAACCCATTAATTTTGCGGCAAAGACATTATGCTCACAATAATTTTAAAATGTCCTTGCAAAACTGTTGCTTGGCTCCCATTCAATTTAGTCCAGCACTGTGAAGAACAGAGCAAGTTTTTGTCCCCCCAGATGTTATACAATGGTCTATACAGTGTGCTATGAACAGGTGCAGGCATTACCATATACAATAAAGAGTAGTAGGTGAAGAAATTGCCCTTCATTATGAAGCATGAAGGGACATTTACACACCATGGATGCCAAGGAAAGACAAGGTATCCACATGGAGAGCTCCAGGTACCTGGTTCCAGGTAAATGGTGACTGCACCCTCTGCAAACTCAACTCCACAGCAATAACTGCATATATAACCTTCTGCATGACTTAACTGCATATCTTATCCTCCCTGTTTTAACCAACACAGTCACGTGAATTTTCACTCAGATTCTGTGGTATATGCCTACATAAATTAACTCCCAAACTTGAAAATGATCTATCTTTTCCATCTATGTATTGAGCAAAAGGAAAACACTTCTCTGCTTTGAAGCATGGAAGACATGCTTGCATGGTGATGAAAAATAAGTATATAATGCCATTGGCAAGCAAGGCTGGAGAAAGTGCTCGGTGATAACACTGTTACATCTCACTTGCATGAATGGCCTGCAAGAAGAGTTTTAATTGGAGTTCTCCACTGGACTTGTTTCTGGGGGATTATCTGATTTTGCAAGGAATTTATATGCTGGTTCTGACATTCTCCAGTTCAGACAAATTAGTATATGGTTCTCTGAGACAAATGAATTAACTTTAGATGCTACAGAATAGTAAGAACTAAACTGTAGCAAGGCAGAACAATGCAAGAATCGGCCCATTTTAGTCGCAGCTTTGATTTGTTGCACCTTGACCATAGACAGCCTTTTGTCCAGTGCCCAACCGGGTTTGCAATGTGCAGCTCAGAGGTGTGACTGGAACTCACCACTCTCCACTTCTTCCCCTCCAGTTCCAGGACAGGGGCATGGCTCTGCTGCGGGGAATTCTTGGGAGAGGTAGGACTTGGAGTATGGCTTTTTGTCGGGGAACGGACAGCCGGACACTGGGCACGTAGGCTGGGGTTCTTGTGAGTCTTCTGGTCATCAGAGACGTGTCGAAGCCCTGAAAAAGAAAGGTATTTATAAAATTGAGTCTGTTTTCCAGTCCTAAGGGTGTTCATATTTAAGCAGGAAAGAATAATTTGTAATTTTGTTAAATTATTCTGTGAATTTACATTTTTTATTTCGTCAAGGTTTGCCTGGGTAACCACCTAAAGTGTAACTGCCTACATATTTGTAACAATTCATATAAAACCTCTTCTTCTGTGGATAGGCTATCTTAGTATCTTTACAGGAAATGCTGCAATGTTTTCTAGTTCCTCTCTGTCCGAAGCAAGCTCTGAGAGCTTGTTATATCATATTTTTCCATCCATAAAAATGAGATTATTTTTCTAATTTATGACAATATTTGATCTATCCCTGCAGCATTAAATGCAGTTATATTAATCATATGTATTTAAACTCACAATAATCCACTTTTTAATTGCAACTGTCCAGTGTTAATACATAAAGCTTTATTATTGTACTCCACAGCAAGCTGTAAGCCATACTTTTTCACCTAACATGTAACACATGTTGACACAGGTTAGTACACTGAATGTGTATCAGAAAGGAGGATATCTTTTTATTGCAATTAGAACTTAGAAGTTCAGCAGCTACTGGGGACTGAGGATGTCCAGCTTAACTGCCTTAAAATTAAAAGGATACCTCTAAATCAGTGGTGTGAATTTCAAGTGTGCTAACATACTTGGGTGCTGTTGCTTCTAAAGGAACAGTCTCACCCATCAGACCCAGTGCAAGCCTCAGAAAGGTCTGAGCTGCTTAAATGCAACTTAAAATTGCAGTGGAAGTAGGGTTAATACATATAGCAGCTCTTGATGTAGTTTGACTCATGGAGCAAAATTTGATTTCTTTTCTCCTGACCTTTGGTAATTGCCTCTCCCTGGTTAAGCTGTGCAAATAGGGCTGAGCGAGATGCAGTTCCTTCATCCTTTATGGTTTCTGTCTCAAAGATGGGGGGAGGTCCAGGTGGTGGCGGTGGCGGCGGTGGTGGGGAGAGGCAGGACCCGCTGGTTAGGACAGATCGCATGGACATAGGTGATGCAACAGGACCCTGTTTGAGATAGATGCAAATTATTCTACTTACATTGTTTCATGGGGAAATTATTTTACATACAGTGTTTCAAGGAACATTATATTATGATAACTCTTCTTTACTAACTTCCTTGAATGCTGTGAGTTTGAGTGGCTCCAGGCACCCACAGGCTCAGAATAATTTCTGGTACCGTAGCTGAATGTAATACTATGAATCCTTCCCTGCATCAAAGCAGGCAAGGCTGGAAAGATGGACAGCCCACAGCTACCTCACTGCAGAGCTACTCCACCTAAAATATTTCTCTCAAATGCTTGTCAAGACTGATGTTAAAAATCTTTAACAGTAAAGACTCCATAACTTATTGCAGTGCTTACTTACATAAAAGGGAAAATGTCTCCTTTTTCCAGATACCAAATTCAGTTAGCCATATATTGGTGTGCATTCAGAAACATACAGAAAATGTTTTGATTTAACACAAATAACTACGAGGGTCACGAATGTCAGTTATCGATATGCAACATGCTAAATTGTATGCAAGATGTAAAATTATATTCTTCAGATGGTTAAAGTAACCTGCAAAGATTCAAATACAGCAGAATGTAAAACTATGATGATTCAAGTCTGTTATTTCTGAAAGTCACTATTTGAGTTTTTAGTTCAATTTCTCAAATCCTTTTTTCTTTTTTTTCAGTTGCAGGAGATCACAGCAGTGAGGGAGGGAGCCTTCATAAAGCAAGTAATCCAATCTTTCTTTCAGTTTGCATAATTGAAAGTACCTGTTCTGGTCTGAATTGTAATGCTTATATAGAATATTATCAATCAGACAGAAAATACTAATAATGATCTAATTAAAATTTTATGCATCTTAATAATAGATGTTAGATAGAATCTGGGAAAACAAGAATGACTTTTTCTGTCTTGCCACTGAGTGTCACTCTGATCCCACCTCTCTGCAGCAGAGCTGCGTGTTTTAAAAGAACTGCTGTGAAAAATTAGATTGGTTCTGATGCGTTGAGCTAGGGATACAGACATTGTGCATTGCACCAGGACGTATTTATTAGGTGGGCAGATGCAATGGGAAATGACAGGGATTTACAGAGTCACCGCTCCTCTAATTGGCAACATTTGTTAAGAGATACAGGTTGTTAAAAGTGCATCTCTGGAAATCAATACTGTTCATAGATACTGCCTTGCTGGACTCAGAGGATATTTTTAACCATTTATGATGCTGCTCCTTTCTGCTTTCCACTTAACCGAAAGAAGCAAAGTATCCATCTGGTTCATGCATCTCACAGGAATTAAAAATGTAGCAATTTTTTAAAAACTAAACTTGTTCTGGTCTGTAATCCCAAACCAATAATTGAAAAGGGACTGAAGTGCACACTTTTTTTTTTCACTCTTCAGACATATATATATATATATTTTAAAAAAAGAAGCCTGGCACATTTGAGTAACTGCATTCAAAGCTCTTAGTCATTATGTCCCTAATTAGAGTAGCACGGAAAGGGAATAATAGTAGTTAACCTCTTCATGTACACCCTCTATTGGCACATGCATCCTCAGCATGTAAGTACTGTTGCACTTGAAGGAGCTGCTTATGGAATATGTTAGTGATACATAGCAAGAGTCTTTGTCACATCAGTGACATTAAAACCGCATGGCACAAAAAAAGACTGTTGAATCCTCAGTACTTGGGTGAGTAATGAAACTGATGTAGTGGTATAGTTCGATCGCTTCTGAAAGGATCCAAGATCTCTTAAGGGAATGAGCTCTCTTCTGTGCTATTAAATCTTTTTGATCAATTGTAAACAAATGAGAAGCATCCCCTTTTGGAATTGAATATAATTTATTGTCAAGATATACCAGAACTGATGTGGATTGCTTTTAGAGACATTTCACTGTTGCATGGATACATTTAACTCAGGGCAATTCTGCTTACTTACTTATTAGGTATTGTTTTAGGCTGTGCACAACTTCTTCACTGGGCCCTTAATTTACAGTGCCTGTCTTCCTGCCTCTGCTAATGCCAGTAATGTTACCTGCAGCAGAGTCAGCACAATTGTGAATTATTATAATAAAAAAAATGAATGTAAGTGGATTTAGTGGCACAATCCGTTGTGGCTGCCTGAAGTGCAACAGAGATCTTCCCTATCTGTTGCCTGCAACCATAGCAACTGAATCCACTATGTCCTGGTTATCCAGAATGATGAGCACTGCACTTGCAGGGCTTTTTTAAAATACTCAGACACCCAGAAATGGCATTCACTGTTCACAGTGCAGTGTGAACATGCAGTTCTGAATTATGTATGCTTTATGGGAGGAGATTAATAGTAGTAGTGGTAGCGGTTAACAACTTGTAGTCTGAGATAAAAATCTGATTTCCCAAATTCCAGATTGACATCTGATTTCCCAAACATACCTTATTGCTTCCACCTGCATAAATACAGTGCTGTGATCTTCCAGAAACTTGTGTGTGTAAGACTCACATGTTAATTTGGAATTAACACCAACTAAATTCTGTAAAGGCTGCAAAGATGCATTAGAGATAAAAAGAAGCAGAAGTTATCCGGGTATTCAGAAAACAGCATAGAGTAGTGGGTCACTCTGCCAGTCTCTGTGCTCAAAGTGCCAAACTGAAGGCCATCACAGACCATGCAGGAAACTCCAGGCTCAAACGATGCTGCTGAATAGTGCATCAAAAGAAGTTTCCCAAATGGCAGCAGAAGTATGGGAATGTCCATGTAACCGAGGTGAAAGCAAAACTCAGAGGGATTGATCTGTGGAAGTGGATGATCTCTCTTCCAGAACTCTGAAAGAACTGTCGTGTGAAAGTACAGACAGAAAGGAAGGATTTTAAATAGATGAATCAAGGTTGGACTTGGTGGTTTTGTATGGCTGGAGAATGTCTTATTTACGTTTAAAGAAAGCAGAGGTAGGAAAGGATCTAAGAAACTGGGAGCATCTTTCCCTTCTAGAGCAGTACTGGTGAAAAGACAAGTCTAGTCAAACATCTCAGTCCTTCACCTGAGGAGTGAAGACATTCCTGTCCTTTGAGTGGGTTTCAAGAGTAGGAATAAAAAATTATCCCTTGCACTCACGCTGCCCATCTGCATCTCCTTTTCTTTACATGTGTGGTCTCTCTACCAAAGTCAGTGGCTGTCTCCACTGAGTTCAAAAGTCTGTGAGTGAGATCTAATTAAGAATGCAGGAGCTGCCACAAGGTCTCAGAAGACACCTGGGGTTCAGTCACCCTTCTCACTTTTCCTCTTAATTTTGTGCAGTCACAGAAATGAGAGATGGACTGAACCTTTGTTGTTAACTTTTCTCCTCCATGACAAATTCTTGTCTAGTTTATGACCTGAGTTACAGCTACACAAGCTAACAGACATTGTATCATCATATTTTCAATTATGTCTGAACATCTATGGCCATTCTGGACACGGCAAACAATTTCCATCATAAATTAGGCCAGGCAAAATGGAAGGACAAATCAAAAGAAAAAAGGTTGCTAAAGTACAGGGAGGGACCAACTGCTCCATTGTAGATCTACCATCTTACACCACTGACACATGCAGTAGGACAATCCTACTTTGAAATATTGTAGGACAGCATGGAAAAGAGGCAACTATCACTAATGAGGAGGTGTACAGAGATGTGCTGTGAAGAGGGGTTGGTTCAGTCTCACTCTGGCTTTTGTCTCCTTTTCTTTGCCATTTTGATTTACCTGACTGAAATCAAACAAACATTCAAGTGAGGTGAGATTCTCTGTGGGAAGAGCAGCTCAGGGAAGCTCTAACAAGGGGACACAAAGCACAAAAGTGAACTGAAAAAGCAGAAAACACCTTGCACCTCTTGCATTCCCTGTGTGCCAAGAAGATGGGACCTGTGCTGCATTCAAACATGTAAAGGGCAGTTTAAAATCAGCCTTGTGAAGCGATTTCAGGCCGCCGCCTTTGATTAATTCTGACCTAATACACAGACCTCCAAGTTACCAACCTAAGTCACTGGCAATTGGTTTTCCTTTCCTTAGTCACCCTTCCAAGACCACTTAGACCCTCAGGCTCTAGAACATTTCTGAAGCAGACTCTTAAACTGGTATCTAGCAATACTTGTGTACAGTCCTATCCAATTTCAACAAAGTCCATTCATTTCTGCTCTGTATAGGGTGGCGTTTGTGAGACCTGCTGGCAATAAAACAGCATGTTATGTGCCCGCAAAAGTTCATCTATCCTAAAGCAGCAGGTGCTCACCAGCATTGCTATTTGCAAACAACTCTTCAGATTAGCTTCAAGCAGATGTTAACAACAGTGGATCTTTACACAAAGAGTGTTAAGAGCCATGTGGACTAGCAAAGGCGGTTATTTGCAAGCCGCTTTTCTTCCTCTTTTATTTCAGCTGTTTGCCTTGGTAACAGCTGCTGTTCTCAGTGCTGTAGACATCGAGTTATGCTGATAGCCCACTGTTCCCATTAACCTGTTGGTATGGTCATTTTTCCTTTGTTTGCAAATACGCCCCTTGCAGGAATTATCAGGGGAATAGATAGCCTCAGCCTTACTTTGTGAAAATGTAGAACAAAACTAAGCCATTAACTTTTAACCTGCTTGCTTTGTATCATCGTGAACTTGATGTGCTTTAAACCTCGTTCCTGGAACTTCCTGAAATGGGGGAAAATGTAATTATCTGAGTAAAATATCCTATCAAGAACAGGAGGTGTGGGCCCTGTGGCTGTGTAGTAGGAGCTCTGCAAGGGCTGGAACATTCCAGAAATTTCCTCCCAGGAATAAAACTGTCTTCAGCCCCCAACTAAACCATGCTTTGAATGGGGTGAGAGGAATGGGTCAGGGTTTGCTCCTTGCTGGACAGCCTAGAGCCATCTGCAGAGAGACCCAAGGGTCTCCCCTGACTGTGGCTCAGCAGCTTCCTCCAGTGTCTGCGTCTGATAAATGTGTATTATCACTGGGCAAGGGTTTGCAGGATTACAGTACAGCCTCTGAGTGTGTTGTACTTCTACCTTCAAC